TTAACAGGTTACACAGATGCAGATATAGCAAGAGATATAGATACGAGGAAGTCTACTTCAGGTTATGTACTTACTTTTGTAGGGGGAGCTGTGTCATGGCAATCCAGGTTACAAAGGTGTATTGCTCTCTCCACCACAGAAGCAGAATATATTGCTGCTATAGAGGTATGCAAAGAAATGTTATGGATGAAAGAATTCTTACAAGAATTGGGGCTGAAACAGGAAAATTATGTGGTGCATTGTGACAGCCAAAGTACCATCCATTTGTATAAGAACCCAATGTTTCATTCCAAGTCAAAGCATATAGATGTCAGATACCACTGGATTCGAAATGTATTTGAAGAGAAGCAGTTGCAGCTTCAGAAAATTCATACAGATGACAACGGAGCAGACATGTTGACGAAGACCTTACCAAAAGAAAGACAGGAGATATGCCGACAGCTGGTCGGCATGACTTTACATTGAGAAGTCATGGGACAGCCTCCCTTATGGGCTGAAGGGGGAGGTTGTTGGGCTGATGGCCCATATTCAGCCCATGTGGGCTTTATCAGCCCACAGCCCACACCCCCTCTTAACCTAACCCTAATTAAGATTAGGGGGGTATGGTGGCTGCGTTTTAGAGGCAGATTAAGGCTATAAAAAGGCAGTAACGAGGCAGATCTTGGAAGCCATGAGATTCCAAAGAGAAGAAGGAGAACAAGGCAGAAAAGGAAGAGAAAGAAAGGGAAGAAGACAAGGACAACGCAGAGAGACTGTTCTCAATCATCTAGCAGTGTTCTCATCTCAGGTTAGATCAAATCTACAGTAGGCTCTTGCTGTGATTACTTGGGAGGTTTTAGATATTGTGGGCAGTGACGTGATCCTTGTATCCCAATTATTCTCTTGTGGTTGTTGCTAGGGTTTTGGGCAAGAGGTTGAGATTTGTACATTCATTATTCTCATAGTGGATTATCTCTAGTTTGCCCCGTAGTTTTTACCCTTCATATTGAAGGGGTTTTCCACGTATATCTTGGTGTTCTGTTTTATTGTGTTTCCATTTTATTCCGTTGCGTATTTTGGTCTTCTAGTATTTGTTCCTATACAAAGGTTATTCCTGTTTATATCCCCATCAAGAACTGTTTCTTATATTTATGTTACTATACTAATAGTGTAACAACCCTCGAAGGCATCCACTATAAAAAAAAGGATACATGAACTAATCTTAAGTTCAACTTGTCTGACTAGATTTCCCGATGCAAGTTTGTAGTGTTCGAATGTCCTACTCAACAAACTTTACCTTGCGATTACCTCGACGAAGAATCAAGTTAGATTTGAGTCGACTTTCAACTCGGATAATCAAAATCTACTATAACATAGTTATTGATGTCCATCATCATTCTCAAGAGATTTTTCCAACAAATGATACATGAAGAAAAAAAATATTTTGTCATAATCAAATACTTAAAAATTGATCTATCAAACGTTACAATGTTTAGAAGGTCAACTTTGAACTAATCATTAGGATTTAATCCAATGAAAATATTGAGCTATTAACATTGTACGATCGGACCACATAATCTAAAATACTTAAGATCATATTAATGATCGTAACTCCATCCAGTCCTAAATACAATTGCATCCCCTCTCCCATTCCAATATTGCTTGTTTTGAGAAGGACTACATAGTAATGGCCAATGTGCATCTGCACTTTGACCTTTTTTTTTCTTTGATCCTCTATTTCACCTATGTTCTTTTCATTGTGTTCGTGTCAAATATCTTGAAAGTGGATTGTTGAATTTTTACCGTAGCTTCCCTAAACAAAAAAATTGCAGTCAAATTCAATGTTCTACTTAAAACTTTGGTGACATCAATACTCTTGGCTGCATTTTTTGAGTAGTAAATAAATTCAAATTCCATTAAACTGAAGAGAAAGATACATCGGAAATAACAAAGAACATGAGTTGCAGAATGAATACTCTTTGCATTCTCCTTATCATATATTTCCAGAGCTGGCTTTGCCAGAAAATGTGAAGCTTGACTTGCTCTCCTCACGAGATGAGATTATTATATCATCACCAAACTTCATCATTCCTTGCACGACTCTATTATCCACCATGCAAGCTGCAACAAAAAAAAAAGTGCAGAAAAACTTGCAAATAATAAATATTTTGAAATGGGTGACCAAAAATCTGAATTTTAGGAAAGATTCTGATAAATATTAAAACTCTAACGCCCCTTTCATATGCAGACCAACTTGAAAAATATAATTAAGCATATGCTCCAAGTCGATCGGAGAAAGAAATTATTTTGTAAAGGTTAATTGAATATCGAATGAAATAAAAAAAGAGAAATACATTATTCAAATTCACAACCTGCTCTTTAATCATGCGACAATAAAGTTATTGATTCAGTAATTATAGGACCCAAAAGATTCATTTGTTAGAGAAGAACCCAATATGTATAAACTCTAACAATGTGCTTTTATTCTTCGTTCTGGATTGTTAGAACTTGGTAGTTTATGTGAGACAGCAGAATTTTTTTCTCATATACTCGCTATTGATGATCTTATTTATCTCTAAAATATTGCTTGTGCTTGCCCTACAAATGAAAGTATTTAATATTTTGGATTTTTTTTGGAAAGAAAATACTCTAACAAGTGGAAGAGGTGGATGACGATTGAAGCCTTAGTATAAATTTAATAACTTGATATATAAAGACACTAATACAAGACTCAGAATTTGGCATGACTTATTGATCTATTAGAGGACAAAGAATGGAACAAAAAGAGGGAATTATCTGTTCAATTTCTATTTGGTGAAATACTTGATGTAATTGCTGTATGAAAATACTTACCTATCAGACTACATCAAAGAAGTATTTGATCAAGTATTCAACAACTGTGGGATTTAGAACACGTTTCTGTATTGAGATGGCAAGGATCAACCATAGATAATCTGTGAACCCCAAAAAACCCATCACCAACCACCATCCACCCACCAAAGATTCCCAGTCAAATCCAACAGCCGTGTCTGCTGGATTTGCCCGCAGATTTCATAGCTTCCCAGCTGTCACTCGTCGGCTGGTTTTTGAACGCGCTTCCTGCACACCGCGGGTTTCCTCCAATCAAACCGTGCCAGCGCACAACGCACTGATCTGTACGACTCGCAATAAGTCATCGCCCACGTTTTAGGTCACCAAAACCACCTCCCGGAATGCGCCTCTCATCCTCTATAAATTGCCCATTCCGCCAGATTCAAAACCTTCTTTTCTTCATTTCGTCGCAGCATTGGTGGGCTTGGCTTTGTTTTCCTTTCCAGCTAAGTATTCTTGTCTTCTTTCTTCCGCCTCTCTCTCACTCGGCCCTTTTTCTTCCACAAATCTTTGGTTGGTCCCTTTTGGGGTACAAATCCGGCTCCAAAATCCGATCTTTCAAGGTTGGTTTTGTTTCTTGGTTGTGATAATCCAGATCTGACTCGCAAAATCTGATCTTTGGGATCCTCTCTTTTCAGCTTCTCTTTCGATCTCTTCACTAAGGTTCATGTTCTTGATGTTCTTCCCTCGAATACTGTCGAAAACCGTAATCCAGCTTTTATGAATCTCGCTACTCTCAGCGTCTGCTTCCTCCACTCCTTCTCTGTGGTCCTTCTCTACTGGTTCTATGTGATCTCATAAACTCGTTCTGATTGCTTGATCCATTAACGTCGAGAAAGAGGCATCTTTTTCTTTTCCTGTTCAATCCAATTTCGAGTAGCTTAGAATCAGAGATCCAGCGAGGAACAAGGATATGTCTTCTTCCTTTCCCGTCCGCCGAACTTCGAGTTCCGAAGGAGACTCGCAGCCGATGATCGACGTGAGGAAGAGAAAGCGGATGCTCTCGAACAGGGAGTCAGCGAGGAGATCGAGGATAAAGAAGCAGCAGCAATTGGATGATCTGATAAACCAGGAGGCGCAGCTCAAGAGCCAAAACAGTCAGATCGCAGTGCAGATCAATCTGGTAACGGAGCAGTACAACAAAGTGGAATCTGAGAATGCTGTGCTGGGGGCTCAGCTGAGGGAATTGACCGAGAGGCTGCAGTCGGTGAACTCGGTGCTCCATTTCATTGAGGAGTTCAGCGGGATGGCCATGGACATACCCGAGATACCAGACCCTCTCCTGAAGCCATGGAAGCTTCCTGGCATGGTACAGCCAGTCATAGCCAATTCTAACGTAGTCCGATTCTGAAACTTCATTGTTGTGCGATATCTACCTTGCTTTGCTGCTTGTGCTCTGGTTTTGTTGAGTTGCATGTAAAATCAGTATGTTTTTTCGTGTCCAAGTCAGTGGGTGATATGTGTGCATGTGCTTGTTGTAACATGATCTTTGGGTAAATGTCCTAATTATTCCAGTTGAATACTTACTGCGTGTCTCCGAAGAAACTATAAAGGTGTGGTAGATCTTGAAATATGCACAAAATGATTTCTTCATTGGTTAGCATAGAAGCCCAAGCATGTTGCTAGCATGCAATGACTCTTAAATGGCTTCGGTTCCATGTTTTGCATCTAATCTTAGGATAAATAATCTGATACCTGATTGTGATATATTAGTAGCGGACATCCTGACCTGGTGCTGAATAGGATGAGACTTATGTGACCTTCTGGGAGAGAAATCTCATCCCTGACAAGTGCAGTCATGCATTGGATTCTTATGTAAACATCACAACCTTTTAATCAGTAGTGGTTCAAATTATATGAGTAGCTTCTTGTCAATATGTTCAATGAAGAAGATTATACAGCTGTGGATGCTATGCTTCGTACACATGCAGATTGTTCAGTTGATTTTATTCAAGCCTTGCAATAGCTCAGTGTTGCAGGATGCTTTCCTTGGAGCACGTAACTTATTTCATATGGTCGCTAATTATTCTTTATACAGACTTAGTAATATTTCTTGGGGAGATTAATTATGGTCAGCTCCGGATAATAAATCAATTGTATTAGGCTTGTTATAATCTTGCAAAAAATTTTCATTAAAGTTGGAAGGCTCAGGACTGTAGTATACATATGAAACTTTTCAAGAGTGCCAAAGATGTTAAGACTTCAATTGAATTTTTCATGTGCAGGGAGGCTGCTACTTAGTGCTTGTTTTGTTTTATCAATATCTGTCTTAAATAATATTTATATTTTAAAAAATATATCATATAAACCTCTCACATTAAGCATGATTTTGGTACAATATCTGTCTTAAATAACATTTATATTTGTTTTATCAACAAGAGCACCGAGCCACTATTACCTAGTAGGGCATCATATGCTCCTTAGCTCGTTAATAGTATAGGAGAGGTTATGTGCGTACAATGCCCCGCTAGGCAATAATGGCTCGGTGTTGCTGCCAGTATTCGCTTTCACGACGATGCCTCCTCCCACCATTGATGAAGGTCTTAATTTTTTTAATTTAAATTATATGTGTCATTATATTAATAGTTTATTGTAAGTCAACATACCACATAAGTAGACACTAATGTCTGTTAACTTAGACTTGATAAGAGGGTTTATATATTATGTTTCTAAAAATATATAGATTATTTTAGACACGAGAAAACCATAAGGGCTTAAGTGGTTCATGATCAAAACTATAAAGGTTAAAATGGATTTTAATCCTAAATTACATATGTCATTATATTAATGATTTATTGTAAATCAACATATCACGTAAGCAGACTTTAATATCTGTTAACTCAAACTTGATAGTAAGAACTTATATGCTACATTTTTTAAAGTGTATGGATTATTTTAAACATGAGTAAACACTTAAAAGATCCATAATCAAAATCACATACGCTAAAATCTTAACCCTATTATTAAAAAAGTTACATGGACTTAGACCAGAAAATATTTCAAATATTTTATTGAGTAATGAGAAATCACTAACCTATATCAATTATGTTAGATCTCCATGTGAATTTATATTAGGGGTCAATTAATTACTGGAGATCAGAGCTTGGCTGTATCTGTTTTCTGAAAACCTACTCACTCAACTAGAAGAAGTCTAGAGATTTGGCATTTGGTGGTTGAGATCACACCAATAGCATCATGCTTGTGTACCTAAAAAAAATAATCTAAAATTGTTCTGGTGCCTAAAATTATAATATAATGATGCCAAAATTGCATTATGTTAAATATAGATGGTAAGAAATGTTAAGTGGAATTTCTCTTAGAATCAATTTAATAGTTCCAAAGATGACCAACATGCTTCATTTGGCTTGAAACGCTTGCTCAAGTTCAGGCTGCAGTTGAGCTTGTTACTAAGATGAAATTTTAGACGGGATTGTGAGTTCTGTAAAACCATCTTTTATGGTATAAAATCACTAGCACCTTGGAACATTCTGAAGGATATAATTAATTCATTAATTGTTATTTAATAAATATTCGTCATGTATTAATTTGATATTATCTTTATAAAAGAATATTATTATTTGCAATCTATTTTTACTATGTCTAATCTTATTTAATTTTTTTAATATTTTTAAATGGATGGAAATATTCTCCTCCTCTTCTTCCTAATTGATGGTCAGTCGATCCTCATTGTCTTTTTCTTCTTTCTCGATGAATGACCTCAAAGGAATAATGATTATGATCGGACATAAGGGGAGGAGTGTCAACGTCAATAGGGAGCAATGAACATGATTGATTGAGAGTGTGAAATTGTGAAAAAAAAGGAGGTAAAATTGATAATATTGATCTGTAGATAATAAAATAATATATATTTTTTTAAGAATTATGAATAATAAGGAGATTATCAATATTAAAAAATAACCATGAATAAATAAGCTTCTTACAACAAGATCAATGTAAACGAAGTAACAATATTATGACTTATTATTGTTGTTGGGAATAAAAGCATGGCTAATGAAGAACTATTGAATTATAAAGGCATTCGATAGATAAAAGCTACAAGTCACGTTGACCATGTTTATTATCATGATAAAAATCTCAAGCCACCACCGTTACTTTGTTTAAATGCTTAAATGTGGAATGCTTTGATCGAGAACTGTATACTAAGCCTCGTAAAGAATAAGATCTTTTGCATGCTTGACACCTCACATACTTGTATTCATGTATTTGTCGACTAAGTTGATAGTTAATACCTATGCCCTCACAACATGACATGCGTGTAGTAATGCTCTACAAATAACATCCACCCCAACCCTTTGTGACTGTTGAAAAAGAAAAATATGCTCAATAATTCCATTTAATGGTATCTTCTTAGCGAACAAAGGAGTTAATATGTTTTCACCACTTGACGATACATACTGACGTGTGTTGGTGCAACGCAAGAAATACCATAAGATACAATGTGAAAAATATAAATATATGTCTTAGATTTAAATTTTTAAATGGAATAAAATTAACAAAAAAGTAAAATAATATTGGAGCAAAAAATCTGGTTCTAAACTTTTCAAGCCATGCTTATAATAAAAACTTCCTGATTGAATGAGTCATCTACTTAAATCATGTGTCATCTACTAGCTTAGATTGAATGAGATTAATCACATATTTAAGATGGCAGTCCCAACGTTTGTGACACCATCGATAAAATGCCTTGGGTTACTCAAATATTTTTGAATGAACTTATAGTGTTCTTCAATGTTATAAATCTATTCAGAAAACTACAATAGAGTTTGGTTAGTTTAAATTCTCGCCAACTTTAAATATTATAAAAGTATTTTTGAATGATATTTCGTAAAATTGTTTATTTGGAATTTTATAAATGATTTTTGATTAAAAAGATTTATTTTAGTATATTTCAAAATAAAGGACTATAAATCCTCATTTTTTTTTCACTTAATCTTAAATTTAGGTCTATATATTTTAGAAAAACCTCATAACATTTATGTTTATTTGTTTAAAAAATATAATAAAAAGTGTGAGATAATATCAAGTTACAATGTTTTAGTTTAGAAACAAAAAACATTGTCTCCCCACCAATCTCAATTATCAATTTTATTATGCATTTTGAATTTGTCAAATTATTTATTTGAGGGATTTCGATGAAAATTAGGATTATTTTGGCATATAATAAAGGTTGATAATTCCTCGTTTTTTCACTTTGCTTTAAATTTATGTCTATATATTTTAGAAAAGCTTATAGTATATATGTTTATTTACTAAAAAAATAATAATAAATAGTGAAACATTCCCAAGTTATGATTTTTTTTTGTTATCAAGAAATAATATTATGATTTTATTCAAGAACATTATAAGAACTTTAAATTCATATTATTATAAATTACCAACTTTATTGAAATGATCTATATAAGAGTTTGAGCGGGTTTGAATGAAATTAAGAGATTTTGATATATTTAAAATAATGAACAATGATTTTTTTCTTTTTCTCCATTTAATCTTAAATTGTTGTATATATCTGTGTTCATTTATCATGGAAGAATGACAAGAAAAAAAAAGGGAGTGATCTTTAGGGAATCCCCATTTTAGGCTTTATTTGAATAGTGCCCCTATTTTCAAAATTCTTATCGTACCTTTTAAAATACTTAAAATGCCTTACTATCATAAAATAACTTTTCCGACTGAAACTCTACCAGCTGAATCAATCTATTACTGGAACAAATAATTACAGTATTTTCATAATGTTTTTTACTTCACCAGATCGATAGTGTTCATGAATATATCTATAATGTCTTAGTTCACAAACAAAGGAAAATATTATATCCATATTCAATTAGTTTACATTTTTTATTAATCTTAATTTTTCAATTTACTATACATTTTTAGGTTTCGTAAAATGATTTATTTGAGAAATTTTGATAGATTTTGGATCAAAATCAATATTATTTTGGTATATTTCACAAGAAAGATATAAATCCTTTTTTTCCACTTAATCATAAATTTTGGTTTATATTTTTTGAAAAATATTATAAATTTTACATTTATTTATTATAAAAATAATAATAAAAGGGTGAGATAATAGCCAGCTATAATGTTTTTCTGTTATTGAACGAAAACATAATGACTCTATTTAAAAAACAATAATAATAATTAGACCACAATGACTCTATTTAAATAATAATAATAATAATAATTATTATTATTATTATTATTATTATCGTCATATTCTTCTTCTTGCTACGATGAAAGGATGCTTCATCTTCTTGTTTTAATTTGTTAATTTCTAATGCATGCGTCGGTATTGAAATCATACAACATATGTTTTCCACTTGGCATACGTCATCTCACCCTCGCTTTCCAGAAGGGCCTACAATATTCCTTTCCGTCTCCTCGACCCAGTCGTTGGAGTGACGCGCCGGCGACGAACCGCAGCTTGCTTTAGGTCCCAACGCTCAAATTTAATGAACCGCAGGCTCAAAGAAACCCTCGCTACCTGCGAGCTCGAATTGCATCGAGCTCGGGCCGGGTGGGATCGGGGTTGTAGCTCGCCCCGGCGACGACGATGGATCTCCACAGCCCGCGGGTCCGGCTCCTGTTACTCGTAGGTGGTCTCATCGCTCTCAGCATGGCAGGTCCGCGTTGATTCCATCTCTTTTATCTTGTTTTTATTCTCGATTTATGTGTTCCCCCTTCCATGTCTTGAACATAAGCTTCTGTGGCTTGTTGGCTTTTCTCCTTTTGATTGGACATGGGGCCCCAGGTGCTGCAAGACGTCGCCCTGTTGGCGGTCGTTGCCTCCAGATTCTTGATAGCATTTCGTCTTCAGGGGGTGGAGATCACCGCCATTTCTTCCCTGGGGAAGAGGTGTGAGGGTACAAACACTTTAGAATGCAGGGACACAAACACTTCACTATCTCACTTGATTCTGTCACTTGAAACGTAAGAAGATTTCGTCGCTTGCGGTCATATGCAGCAAGTAACCTATGTTAGTGATCATCTAGTGCATATATTGTGTTGTAAATGTTGCTTGTAGCGGTGCTCTTTTGGTTGCTTATTGTTGGAGTGAAGAACCTCCTTAAGCAGACTTAATCCGAAATCAATGGCCAAGCAAGAATGGCATATATAGATAAGTGACACGAAACCAACCTTTAATAAAGTGATGCAACTCGATCGGCTTTTGACCTGGTTGGTAGTCGACCCAGATTAGACTCTTGGGGCTGAGGTCTGAAACCCCTGCCCATGGGCTAACTTAACCTGGTAGTATCCTTCAAACCTTTTTAAATCATAGTTTAAAAGGCCGTGTTGGACTAGTATGTACCAACTGTATTTATAGATCTGGTCAAGCATCGATATCAAACATGTACCATTATTACTGTTAAAGTCCCCTTTCTTAACTGTTCAAGCTTTTGGCATTTCTAGTTACCAATCATATCTTTAAAATTACATCATAGCATGTCATGAGTTCGAATTTTATATCCGCATCTTTCACAGTTCTTAATTAAAATTATTCGGGCACTGCCCATTCTCATTTAAGCTTGCGTCATCTACTCGGGCTTTGTTCATATGTCAAGCTTAACCATCTTGCTCGTGAGAGGATATGTTAAAGCATACATTGTATCCTTTCCTAACAGCTTAAGTTTTTGGGATTTCTGGTTACCTAAGTGAAATCAGCAGGTACATGTTGATATACCATTCAGTATCTCTGCACCATATTGGTTCGATAGTTTATTGAAATTAGTATTGTATTAGTATTTAAAACGATGATTAAAATATTGCATTTCATGTAAAACTTTAGCTTCATTTTGTTGTGCGCCACAATTGAGATTTGCCTGCATTATAGTTGTGCAGGTGAAGAGTTCCAAGAATGACGATTGCTTGTTGTTTTTTATAAATAACATTTTGGATATTAGTTGCTTTCCTCATGTATTGTCTTGGGCTGCCCTTTTAGGACATCAGTGGTTCTAAAGCCTGAAATCTTATTTTAGTTATTATAATATGCTCAGCCGATTCTCAGTTAGCACATTGCTATACATATAACATAAACTATGATTAAACACTTCAACATCTGAGATGTTGATAAAAATACTTTTGAGATTCAATCCTAATGATCCACATTGATCAAAACCACAAACCCATAGATTCAAATTAGATCAAGACGAATAATTATAGCAGTACGGTAGGAGGATAAGAGGGTGAACCTTGGTATTACAAGAAAGTTACTCCACTGTGAGTAGGATGACTAGGACTTGGATCACGGAAACAACCTATGTTCTTGTAGGGGCAAGGCTACACGGTATGACCCTTCTCTGATCCTGTGTTGGTGGGAACATGGTACATTGGCTTTATCATTTTATTATATTATTTTGGTAAGATTGTAATTGGCTTAAAGACAGAATGGTAAAGTGCATGTGTAAGAGAAAGAGAAGGGGAGGGAACACATATATTAATTGTCATGACTGGACTTAATAAGTCCATTGGCCTGGTAATTTGGATATGATGGACCCAGAACCATGAGCCTTCAAATGCTTTAGCCTTAGTTGTTGGTGATAGACCCATTTAGTTTATATACCATTCCAACCTATCCTCAATTTTTGATACGAGGATATTATTATGTCATAGACTGATAGGCCCACTAGCCTTGGTAATTTAGATTCAATGGGCCTAAATCCCTTAGGCATGAACTATTTAAGCATAGTTATCTGTAGGTGGCTAACCTCTTCTCCACTTCTGATATGAGATTAATCAAAGCATTAAAATCCCTACCAGTTAATGACTTAATCTCCTCATCAGGGAATAACAAAATTACACAATTTCAGGACAATTGCTTTTGTAGGTAGCATCCAAGGACTTAAAAGACCAGTGGTAGTTTATGTAATGATGTGCTCCTTACACCATGTACATGTCAGTCATTTTATTTTGGTCCACTCATCAATGGCCTTTCATTCCCAGGATAGTACATGCCTTTTGGTAACAATTAGCATGACTTGACTCAATAGGCCCACTAGCCTAGTAACTTGAATGTGATCAGCTCAGAACCATGAAGCTCAAATTCCTAAAATCAAGTTATTATATGTTGTACCATCAACCCTTAATCACCATCATAATGCTACTCTTACTTTGGATGTGGAACCAATCCATGCAACACATTTATAGACACCCTTTAGTTAATTTTTAATTTTCACCATTCAAGAATTACATACTCAATAAAAAAGAATTTGATTCTATTCAAATTGATTGAAAAATTGAAACTTAACCTAAAATGGCTGGTATCTCCGTAAACTAACAAATTTGTGGAAACTGCTGAAATTTTTTAAAATTGCAGAAACTAGCAACACGAAATTCTTTCTGGGGGAGAATCTAAAATTTAATCAATTCTGAACATGTTTACAAGTTAATGCCGCTGTATAATGAGGTTTGTGTGAATAACATAAGTCCTTGTGTAGTTGAAAAGATGCAACTCACTCTTTGACTTGGTTTATTAATTGCAACATCTGTAACTGTTTTCATGTAACTAATTGAGTCAATTACTATGGTGTATGATTGGCCATCGTGTAGGACATTTTATACAAAAATTGCTTCTTTCTCTCCTGTCTTTAGGACCCATTTTGTGTGCCTAGTAGGAGAGATGTAAGCATAAGGATGGTGGTGGATTTCTCTCCATCTCAGCTTCTCATTTTCTGGATGACTAACCTATTTGTTTAATTGGTCTTCTGTTCTAGCCTGGCATTGGCTATCAAATACTCCTTATATCTAGCAGTTATTAACATAATATGTTGGTAAAAAGAACAGTCAAATCCCTAACATTGAACTTCAGCACTTTTTAATTTGTTGCAACAAGCCGCTATTACTTTTTGTGGTCTTATAGCTTTAGGTCATAGATATAATAAAAATTTTAGCCTAAAACTCTTGGGCTTGGTTTACTGTGATCTGTCAAATTTGAAGAGACTAGAAATGGAAGGTTCATGATACATGTGTTTCATCAGCTAAAGTTTTGAGTCTAGTAGCAGCTAATGAAAACGATTGCAGAGACTAAGACATTGGTGGTACACGGGGAATTATGAGATCTTCATTTTCTAGGAACTCAGATTTAGTAATATTGTAAAACTTTAGCAATTTACCACCAATTTCCAACTATATAAGTCTTAAGAGTCGGTCAGAATTGGACTCTTCTTGAACAATACTAATTATGTCGTACTAGAATCTGCTGATACTGTGAAGTATGTTGAAAAGATTCCAAAAAATAAAGCAAGATTCCTCATTATGTTGACTTGGCTTTAATTGCTAAGTGTCTATTTTATCTATGGGATACCTGACTTGCAATTTCCTAATGTCTAAATGATTCTTGCTCGTATTTGTTTTAAATCAGAATACTACATCATCAGTTAAGGATTAGATGATTGGATTCTCCTATTGCTAACAAGTAACTAACACTAGCATTTCTGAGCTATGTTGTTTATGGGCCATTCAACATAAGTTATTGAGCAGGTCACCTAGATTCTGACATATGGTATCAAATCATTTATGCAAGACAAGTGGTCCTGGAGAATTCATGCAAGGCCTTTTATTGTGGATTATACAACAAGATGACAACTATCTTAAGAGCATCAAGGATAAAATTTCTCCATGTTAGTCCCTGATGAGAATGTCAAGAGTAAATAAAGAAAGAAAATGGCAGGCAAACATCAGTGGGGAAGCGGCAGATCCTAATTATTCAAAGATGGGAAAAGATTAAAATTTATATATGATTTGATTTGCTAATTACTAACAATTTGGGTTTGAGTATTCTTGAGGCACGGTAGATAACACATGTTCTATACATTTTTTTTTTTCGCTGTAAAATAGAAACTTTATTAACTCAAATCTGGAGTACAAAAGATATCCTTCTCATCAAAGGAAATAAGCATGGAAAGATCAGAATGGAAACTTTCTTTCCACGAAAAAGTGGACTTGGAAGTTATAGCAAAATTAGCCAGTCAGTTAGCGGACATATAATCTCCCTATAGGTGTGATTGAAAGAAATAGAACATAAGGTAAGAGCAATGTGTTGAATGTCTCGGATGTGATTAGCAATTTGCCAAGGAGGTGTAGCACTGTTAACAGCCTCAATCACAACACTGGAGTCAGATTCAACTTGAACGCTAGTAGAACCAGCATTCCTTGCAACCTTTAAGTCTATCCAGGCCAGTGCTTCACATGTTCCATACACATTGTTTGGCCAATTGGCTTCTTGGTCATGACAGTAAATCCATCTTTCTTAAGTTATCTGTGATCTATGTTTCATATCATTGTAGATTTATTGCATTGCTTCAGAACCAGCAAAAAAAGCTCTACAGAAATACTTTTCACGTTGTTAACTCTATAACTATAATATCTTCCATGATATCTTTTGCTTCATATGTGGTCAAGTGTTGCATAGACATATCTCTATTGCCAATCATTGTACTGCTATTGCAGCGGAGAAATTCAGGGAATTTGTTGGAGAAGAAGCTGCATCCAAAAGTGGGAAGTTCACATTTTTGAATTGTTTTGACATGGGATCTGGGAGTCTTTCCTGTGTAGTCAAAGAGGGTGTCAAACTCTATGCGTACAACATCCGAAGTGCACATGTTGAAAGAATAAGACAACGAGAAACAGAGATTGCTCTGACTGAAGCTTTGACGGAAGGTCTGACCGCAAGCATGGCTGCAAAGAAGGCTCAGAAAGCTGGCACAAAAGCTGCAAAGGAGGCTTCCAGGCAAGCCAAGCGCATTACAGGTCCACTAATATCATCAGGGTGGGACTTCTTTGAAGCCTTATACTTTGGAGGAACTTTGACAGAGGGCTTCCTCAGAGGTACCGGTACTTTATCTGGGGCCTATGCAGTTGGTTACCATGGTGAGCAGAGACTGGGAAGATTGGGTTATCTTATGGGAAGTCATCTTGGTAGCTGGATTGGAGGAAGGATAGGATTGATGGTATATGATGTTGTAAATGGATTAGATTACTTGCTTCATTCTGTCCAACCAGAAGAAGATACGAGTTTTTTCACTGATACTGGGGGTTCTGGCTTTGAGGACGCATATAACACAGGAAAAGATATCGTGTATCAGAGCGCTAGTGAACTAAATGGTTATTATGAAAGTGTGAATGAAAATTCTGAAGATTCTGAAACTTGAGACTCTTTTGAAACAAGTGGTACTGTTATATTGTAGTTATCGGTGTCATGTGTATATCATATAGTTCTGCATTATGCTTTATCTTACTGAACATACCTGTTGATGAAGTAATGAACACCATTAACTGTGGGGTCCATTGATACAAGAGTTTCCTGTTGCTATTGAAAATTTATTTCTTTAAGCTGGTGACAGCTTTGACAGGAACTCCACTATGAGTGTGCTCTTATTCTTTTTACAGAAAACATGGCCTCAGGTCATCTGTTACTTGTGTTTTGTACTGACAATGCAATGTTTGACTATTTTTTTTTGTTTTTCCGGTGGTGCATGGGTTAGTTTTGATTCAAAGGACTCTACTGATTAGGATAACCATTTGCTTGTGTCATATTTCTCTTCCAAATGGAATTTATTCCCTAGGCCTCGAGATGATAACATAGATTCAAGTTTGAGTGAGAGTTTTTCTTGATCTTGTCTTATGTCTCTAAATGAACCAGCTTTCTCCTCAATCTTTCCTGAGTTTATGTTAAATTCACGCGGAACTTTGATGCTACTTTTGTAGATGGTTTAGTCTTCATCAAGATTTCATTTCGAGCTCTGGTTGTGCTAAATTTGTTGAAGTCTCCATTTTTCTTCTGCTGACGATTGTGACTGGTGTACCAATTGCTTAATTCTACTTGAACTTTGATGTAATCAATCAACAAGAAGAACAACAACAACCAACTATAATGTGTTTCAATTATTTAGGATCCTGAATTGATTGGTGTACCAAGCAAGATCACATTTTTCCTATCATTAAATTCTACAAATCAGGAATATGGTATACTGTGTTCTTGTGGTTCCGGCTTCGTCCCCTTCGAAAATATATTGCCTCTTGATGATTTGCAATAGCCATCGGAATCTTAGCCACTGCTTTCGATTGGTATGATGACAATAGCAGGAAAAGAAGTCGTCAATGATCACATCTCCCAATCCCTGCGTCGAGTAGTCGCGTTAGAAGATAGTGGCCAAAATTGACTAAATCAGGTGCAGCATCACCCACCAACTGTCACATATTCCAAAGCAGAGTGTCCATCTCATTGAGGCATCTCCAATGAGTGCCCAACATCACAGAGGTCTGAGTCAAAAAGATGATGGTGATCATGAGAAGGAGCAAGTGCAGTGCAATGAGTTTTTTTCACTTTCTTTGATGATACGAATTTTTGTGACAGGATATGTCTTTTTCAATAATCTTTTTTTATGCCTCTTAAATCATATCTAGGAGCCAACACTAGCCTTAGGAATTTGGTGGCAAATTGACTCCAATTGCCTCACCTTAGAGTTGGCCCATGAGACCAGGCTATGTAATTAACCATCATATCCAACATATCTCGAAGTAACCTTTTCTCTGTGAGCTTTCTAATGGCTATGTAATTAACTTGGATGCATAAATCCTGTTTAGAAAGGGTTTCGGAGCACAATTTTTCTGAAGCATATGAACATCAAGCCATGATGATGTTAATTTCCTATGCAATACAAACACAGAAAAGTGGAGTTGAGTTTGTGCGTCAGCCATGATCATGGATCGACTTTAGATTCGCTTTTAACAAGTTAATTGATAGTTAACGACATCACTAACCATCACTTCCCAACTTATTTAAGAATTGAAAGAATCAAAACCTGCGGATGACAAGATCTCATAGCTAAATACCTACCTCTGTGTCCACATTATCATTAGATACTGTTTAGATCGATTGTCCTAAAAGGATACTCGATGCTTTGCCAGAGAATGCTCTTTCATCACTATGTGCTCATCGGCAACCTTGTTTATTCACAGAAAAACTGGCAGCTCTCAGTGCGTATGCCTTCTCCGTAACCCTCTTCCATTTTTCTGATACCATGTGATGGTGATCATAAAAGCTTTTGTTCACCAGAATATGATCAACCACACATCTTTCAAAATCCAACTTGGTGGAGCGTAGCACATGTTCAGCATCTCTACATCTGGAGAGCTCAAAGTAACTTCGCCATGTCAAATCACTGCATTGCCTAAGCAGTAGTTTGCAGGCATACAGAGACATGAATAACCTGAATCTATCCATCCATTTACGTAGGTAATCAAGGGGTCGTCAAATGGTACAAAAGAATGGAGGTGTAAACAGACAGAAACCTCAGCTGATGCTTAGGGGCTTTGTGCTGTGTGAATGCTGCGATAAATGTGGGGATTAAGAAACCCAACAAAAAATTATGTTGACACTAATTGCCTCGTATAAATTGCGTGAGAAACTTTATTCTATGAACCAATCAAGATTACAAAGAATCATAAGCTAATTGCAAGCCTCCATACTTACCCATTGGTCGTATTCATTTCCATTGTTTAGGATCGAGCTATGTCTCAATATTACCCACTCAAAATCAACCATTGGATGTGTGACCTAATGCATCTAAATCGCCTGTAAAAAGTGGTCAGTTGCACGACTTCTTACCAATGCATCTGATCAAGAAAAAAAAGATAATTAAATAATGTAAACAGAAGAAACATTCAAAAAAATAAATAAACTCACGTAGAGTTTGAAGAATTTAAATTATCGAATTTGATACTAATAGAATAAGACACAAATAAACAAAATATTCAACTTGTTTAGATCATCAATGACTCATTTTCAGAATCACATAAATCATCGAAATCGAAGGTGGAATGTTATTTTTCAATTAGTGAAATAATCAAATCTCGTTCATATTCGGCATATGAATTACAAGTTAATTATTTGTGTCATCGTTGAGAATTTTATTCTACTGCATACATCTCAACTTGAGATAGCACTTCCCACCCACTGATTGATTACTTCAGTGATCATTCAACTCCACTATCTTTTTAGTGTAGTGATTGAAAATGTATGACTTGCATTCAAAAAGCCTAGAAATCTTGCTTTAAATTAGTTGATCGATCAAGGACAATGAGACTGCAATATTCATTAAAAATAGCATAATAACATTACCAAGAAATTGTCAAGATTGCCATACATATAAAGCTTCCTCTATGGATTAACAAGCAAACATTTATGTAGATTAATCCATGTAGTAATAATAACATCAGAAACAATAAACCTTGATCACCTTAATCAAAATCATAAATGTTAGATGGAACCATGCATGCTGTCGATTACTAAAAAACCCAAACCTGTATCAGGAATCTTAGGATTTATGTTCTTACTGAATATTATTTAGAAATTATTTTTTTAAAAGGAGGAATTATTATTTTTATAAAGTAAAAGAGTTCAATATTGAAGGTGTTGACTGGTAAAGGCATTGTTAGTTTATTGTAAGGTTTTAGATTAGTATTTTAGTTTTACTATTTACCCTTTCAAGAAAATGCAGATTTGAGATGTGATGTATAAAGAGGACAAACAAAGTGGGCACAGTTGGAGGACCATCCCTTTCCCATCCATCCATATTTGATGGTTCCACAAGGTGTTGCCCCCACAGTCCACAGCCATATCTACACTCCCACCTCCTCCCTCACAGGGCTTGTGGAAGAGGTGTGCCTGCCTTGGTCTTGCCTTCTTGGTCACCCACTTTGCCTAACATGGGGAACGAAGAAGAGCTGCTTGTCCAAAGGATCTCAGAGATCTGTGACAGCATCTCAAAGCTCCCCAGCCTGAGCCCATCCGAGGATGTGGACAATCTCTTCACTGAACTGGTCCACTTATGCATCCCTGTGATCCCCATAGATGTGGTCAAGCTGAGCTCGGAGGTGCAGGCCATGAGATCCAAGCTCATCAAGCTCTGTGGCGAGGCTGAAGGCCTCTTGGAGAGCCACTACTCCGATGTGCTGACTTCTTTCGACAATCCTCTCGACCATTTGAGCCTCTTTCCTTACTACTCCAACTATCTCAAGTTGAGCCATTTGGAGTACTCCCTGCTGTCGAGGTACGTGGCAAGCCCGCCGGCCAGGGTGGCGTTCGTCGGCTCCGGCCCTCTGCCGCTAAGCTCCGTCGTGCTGGCCGCGCGCCACATGCAGGAGGCGGAGCTCCACAACTACGATCTGGACGCGACGGCCAACGCCCGGGCCCGTCGTCTGGTACAGGGCGACCCCGGCATGGCGGCTCGCATGGCGTTCCACACCGAGGACGTCCTCGCCGTGACCCACGCGCTGCGGGGCTATGACGTGGTTTTCCTGGCGGCGCTGGTGGGGATCGGCCACGACGACAAGATCCGCGTGGTGGACCACCTTGCGCGTCACATGGCCCCCGGTGCCCTCCTGGTGGCGCGAAGCGCCCACGGCGCTCGGGCCTTCCTGTACCCGGTGGTGGAGCCGGCGGACCTGAAAGGCTTCGAGGTGCTCACGGTGCACCACCCCGCCGACGAGGTCATCAACTCGGTGATCGTCGCTAGGAAGCCGCAAGGCGGCCATGCAGCCGGCGCGACGGCCGTGGTGAGGCCCTGCAAGTACTGTGAGATGATGCAGGGCTTCCATCACTTTGGCCATGGAACCATGATGGAGGAGGTTGCACTGGAAGAGCTTCCCTCCTGAGAGAAGCCTTTCTCCACCTAAAGAAAGCACTGAAGTCCAGTGCATCTCTAACTGTTCTTACGTGAGATGGCGTACGTACTGCTACCTCTTCTTGGTTTGCTTTCGATTGATCAGGGAATAAGTGGCAATTTCCTCCTTGCTTGTCAGGTGTGGACTAAGCTTTCATTTCGACTTCCCATTTAGTTTGTGACTCAACGTCTGCTTATCACTGTTAGCGATCAGTAAAGATCAGATTTTATGGCTTTTCATTACATCCATTTGCTTGCTCTAAGAAACCATCGGAGTTGTGATCGGAGAACAGAAACAATTAGTACAGATGAAGAGAACCTAAATGAACACCGTTCTCTTCTGACGTCAAGATAAATTATAGAAAGATAGATGACAGGTAGCGTGTGGTATTTATTGTCTTCGATCATCCCAAGAGGATCCTCATCTGAATGCTGTTGCACCTTTTATGTGATGCCATCTCGCACTTCCAGAAACATGTACTGGTCTTCCAAGGATGATGCAAGAAATCAATATTGGCCTCAAACAATCATGAGAATATTAGCAGAAACAGTCGATCGTGACTCATCTACACGACAAGCTTTGGTCCATATGTTATAGGTGCGTTCCTCCACGGATGTTACAGTGAGTGTGCAGATTGACTCCTTTGATTTATTGTCACTCCATCACACCCATGCACAGCTGTGTTCCTCCATTTCAGGCTGGAAGCATATTATGACTTGATCTTGTCTCATTCCATTAGGTTCAAATGAAGCAATTACTCTGATACAGTAGGCAGTCAATTCTTGCCTTGGAAGCTTTTGGGAGAGCCAGAATATTCTTTCTATTATGTACTCCTCATTCTGTGTTGAAGTTATACAACCAACAAGTGTCATAAATATTAGGATAAATATTTTTAATCAATTTTTTCTATCTTCAAATGTGATAATTATTAATTTTCAACCATTAAAATGAGAACTTCATTATTTCATAGGAACTATGAAATTTGGTTGAAAATAATTTTACTGAGTATAATCAATAGAATCCCAACATCATTGATGATAAAAAAATTAAATGAATAAAAATGTATATAAATATGTAAGAGCCTTCTACATGCGACAACAAATAATAGATTAGTTAATATTTTCTCGAATCATATCAGCATTAACATCATGCTTGAAAAATCCTAAAAAGTATGCTTAAAGGTACAAATAAGATAAAATTTTTAAGATTTTAAATTATTTAATATGAGTTTGAAACTCTTATGATGAAAGATTCTAAGCCTATCACAGTCTCTATTGTAATCCAAACGAGATATTTTGGTCAAAATATTAAAAAAATCAAATAGTAGTAGAAATTTTTTTAAAGAAATCTATCTCCAAAATTTGATATGAAATCTATTGTTATAGAAAAATCTAAAAATAAAAGCACCTTGTTTATTGATGTATTAATGGGCTTATTATTGATTCATAAACAAAAAGTTGATTTTTAGATGGAACTTCATAGATCAAAAGAGGGGTCGAAAGAAGATCCACAAACTAAATCTCAAGGTAGAGATTAAAATAAAAGCACCATGAATGATTTGATACTTGAGAAACAGAACAAGAATAATCTGATGAGAATCAAAGGAACTTCAACAAGGTAATAAAGAAACTCATTAATATTTTAATTATAAAAAATTAAACATATTAAAAAATATTATTAATAATTAAAAAAAATTAAAAGTTTCTCTCGTTACAAAAAATATGATCAACTTGAAAAAGATTATTAGAACAAAAATCAAACAAATGATCATGATAAAAATCATATAAAAGATTAAAAAAAAATTTGTAGCCTTTGATGATAAATGTTTAAAAATTGTTTGATTTTTAGATTGTGGATGTAATAATAATAGAAGTTTATTTCAAAAGTGTGATGTTTTGATCAAGTCTGTATTGCAAACTGAAAATAGCAGTTAGATGGAAGGAAAAGAAATGAGTATTGTAAATATCAAATCTGATAAAATGATACAATGTTCATTCCTAGATTAAAATAAAATATCACTAGTATAAGGTAATTCGTGAGAAAATTTTATTATGTTATTTTTTAGATGAATAATATTTGATTTGTGATAAAAAAAATTAGTAGCAATTATAAGAATGATAAAAAAAATGATGTTTTCTTTATTGTTTTCTGATTTTTCCTATCATCACTCACTACTACTTGTCACTATGGCAATATAATCATATGAATTATGGTGAACTAGAACAATTAAATCAAAAGAATATGATAGTTTATCAAAAAAATCAAAAGAATAAAGATAGTATTTATGAATCTTGTGTTTTTGAAAAATAATATAGAAATTCTTTTCACACAAGTCATTATTAGAGACCTAAAGAACATCTCATACAGTAAAAATAAATATTTTTTTATTTATAAATAATTGCTCAAAAATGAGGTGAGTATACTTTCTTAAAGTAATAACTAAAGCTTTTTTAATTTTTAAAAATATTTAAAGCTTAAGTAAAAAAGAAAAATTAATTGTTTTATAAAAATTCTAGGCACTGATAAAGGGGCTAAATTCACTTCTAAAATTCTTTTCACTTTTTGCAACAAACTATGTATTATTCATAGGGAATTGACCATAAGTTACACCCTTATCAAAATGGAGCAGTAGAGCACAAAAATCAAGTTGTGATCGAGACAACCAAATATATGGTTAAAAAATAAATATCAAAAATCTTTTGGGAAGAAGATGCGAGTACAATAGAGTATTTGCTAAATCACTTTTCCATCAAGATAATTTGGTAAAACACTGTGGCTTTACAAAAAGCATGATATGACTCATTGGAAGGTATAGGTTGTGTTGCTTATTTTCATGTTTTTATTTAAAAAAACTTAATGACGAAAGTATTAAATGCATATTTGTGAGCTATAATAATGAAACAAAAATTTTTAGAATTTATGATCCTATAATTAAAAATAATAATAATTCGTCGTGATGTTATTTTTAGTGAAAATAAACTTGGAATTATAATATAATTAAAATTCTTATAAAATTACTATAAATGTAGGAGAAGAAGTTAATAAGATATATAATACATTATCTATTATTAATATCCTATCTCCTCGTATTTCAATGATTCTAGTGATTCTAAAGTACCTCTAATAAAATTTGATAGTCATAGATAAATATATTAGTCTAGTGATTTTGTATATTTTACTTTGTGATGGTGTTATGAGTACCGTCGAGTAATGAGTCGGCATAGTTGGTCCACTACCGAAAGTACAGGCTCACCCAGGTGTCTCTTTCTGGTTGACGTGAGAGACTTAGTGAGGTGAGACCGCTTATCGATCGAAAACCGTTCTGTTGGTGAGGCCCCAATTCAAGATGACCACATAGGCGGACTAGGATCTTCCCGATTGCAAAGTTTCTCCCTGGGATTGGAACACCCGAGTGTCCTCGGGTATAGGGTTGTCTCGTGGTTGCATGGCTACGTCCTAGCAGCGGGGCCGCTACTTGATTGTTAGCGATTTTACATAACAGGTCGATGCGATCTCTTTGATGCCTAAATCAGTGAAGGAGAGAAGACAACAGGGACAAAATATTATAATATCAATGAAAACAAACTACATGAAAATGGGATAGACATTTCCTACCATAACTTCAGTCACTAGATGAAATTCCAAAACTAACTAACATGTAGAAAGGAAAACAAAACATATCATTTTAAGTTATTCTTATCTTAACATGATATATTTATTTGGCATAAATCCTAGGGGACGCTTCCACTGGAGAATAAGAAATTGCACTTAAAAATAGTCTTCTTGTTCTTTAACAAATAATAACTCAGCACCCAAATATCTGCAAGTGATACTATTATTTATGTAGTTAAAAAAAAAAACTTAGCAAGGAAAGAAAATTCACATGTATTTTAATATATGCTCATGAGGATTGAAGAGAAAGGGTTGTCAATTTTGGCACACCTTTATTAGCAAGAAGTGGAACTCGTTGCAATAAACTCATCAAAGCGCTGAGCCTTATCCCTCAAGCTCGCAATAATCTCCTTCGCAACATCATCGATCATTAGAGGCAAAAACTTCTCCATTCGATCAAAATCTTCTTCTTCTTCTTCTCCTTCTTCATCCCTTGCTCCTTGCTGGTTCTTCCCATTTTCCACCTTCCTCACTTTCCACTATTACATTCCCCTTTTCAACTGCTTCGGAAGCTTGAACGGCTTCTGAATCAGCAACGTGAACTGAAGTAGATTCCTTCATTTCTTGTTCGTCGTCGGAAACCTTAGCAGCAGTATACCTCGTCACATGCCTTCTTCCCCTCACCCTCCCCTTTGCCTCTACGACTTCCGTCACCTCTTCTCCTACGCTCTCTTCCGCAGCCGGGGGTTACGAGACCTCTTCTTTTTCTGGAACTGCAGGAGCAGCAGCAGCAACAGAAGCAGAAGCAGAAGCATCAACCTTCCTCCTCGGCCTTCCCTTCCCCCTTTGACCACCCCCTCCCTCTGCACGAACCACTTCTTCTTCCTCCACAACCGGAAGAGGAGGCGCACCCTTCCGCGGTCGCCCCCATTCTCCGGCTCATCCCGCTCCTCTCCTTGTCATCATCGTCATAAACAAAATCGAGCCTTTCCGCCGCGAGGATCTTAATGCCAATGACCGTGGCCTCGCCGATCTTAACGGTGTCGCCGTCGGAGAGCGGGAAGGGGGCGGAAGAAGGGATCTTGCGGTCGTTGACGAGGGTGCCGTTGGAGGTGTCGAGGTCGGACACAGCCCAACGGGAGGCGTCGTGGAGGAACCGGAATACGAGGTGCTTCTGGGAGGCGCTGGGCGAGGTTATTGCCCTTGACGACGAGGCCGACACGGGCGACGGCGCCGGCCTTGCACTCGATGGTCTCGCCCTTCCTCGGGCCCTTCTCCATTTGGAGTCGAAACCCCACGCCCTAATCCGTCGAGGAAGGGGAGGAGGGAGACGGGGTTTCCTCTACCTTTCAGAATTATAATGTCAGTTTCCATACACCAAACACGCAATCGAATCAGTTAGTAAAATGACAGCAGTGTCTTAATCGGTCCAGATGCGGGGAGGCATGACAGCGGATCGGATCTATTGATGCATGAGGGTTATCGGATCCGTTTAACTCGAGTCGGATTCCAATTAATAAAAGAACGAGCAATTGAATAGAATTTGGATATGAATATGAATTTATTTTTAAGTTTATTTCTTGTATTTAATATGAATAAAATGTAACTAGATAATTCTATTATCAATTTT